AAACAAGGCTAACGACCCGTATGACGTGGATGCCATTGTTGTTGTTGTTGCCATGGTGACCTCCAGAGTAATTCGTTACTGGAGAAGAAGCTGCGGCTGTCACCATTGTGGGAAATGTGAAAACCATTATCATCTCTAAAGTTGTGACTTCAGGGACTTAATGAAGCGAGGGACTACGGTGTGCGGACACGGTGTGGAGGAAAGGAAGTGCACCTAACTGCATGTTGCAACAAGACGCGCCCCTCCTATCCTCAGTTAATGTTCTGCCTGTGTATGAGAGACATGGGACGTGTGTGTGTGTGTGTGTGCTGCAGTGTATATAATGCGGTCATACTTACATATCGAGTGACGGTACACATCTTAGAGCTTTAGACCGTAAAACGTGTCCGTTCAAAGGGTTGTTTTGTTGGTTATTTATCTGCTAAAAATGTTACAGTTATTTTTCTTCAGTTATCATACAAAAAACATGATCCGAGTAGAGCCTCTCTTACAGCTGTGACCGTATCCTATGACCTTTTTGACCTAAAAAACAATGTAGTTACAGAGATTACCAAGGTGTATACAGATGCCGAGTATAAGTACTGTAGCTCTGACGTGTTTTCTGGTGAACTTTGCCTTTGCCATTCTCACCTTAAAAGAGTAACAGCTTAAACATTCATCATTGTGTTTGTAAATATCAGATAGAAGTGTTGTTCCATCCTTGAATTAAACCGCAGATAATTTAGTTATTCATACTGATCATATACTGTATATATATATATAAATATATACGGTACACATGACTGATCGCCCTGCTGACGAGACTTTGTCGGCGTGGATAAATTAACTCATGGTGTTACAACTTCGTGAGATGTATTTGTCAAGTATTTTAAGGATAATACTCCAATATAGCTCCAACTCCAACTGACTGTCTTGCAAAATAAGGATAACTTTCTGGTTTTAAAGTTATAACTCCATGGAAGTGTTGTATACAGTACCAAAATTAGGTTACGTTAGTAATTGTAAGTTGCGTTATGTTAATTATGTTAGTATTAATTATATTAATTTAGTCTATATTTTGTTTATTTATGCAATTTCTCTTTTGCACACACCATTTTGGGTTTTATGAATACGAACAGGAATATAACGAAATTTTTCTTTGAGGGAAATACACCTAATACACCTAATGCACTTAATGGGGTCACATAAACTAGATAAGATTAGTCTCATTATAAGATGACGACGAGGCTCAGGAAACAGGACAAACTACTGTGTTGTGGTGAAGCGAATAAATAGCCTGCGGGAGGCGGGTGGCTGTGTTGGATCTGCCCATCTGGTTCACCTACCTCACAGCTACAGCTATTGAAAAACAACAACTATGGTACGCAAAAATGGAAATTGAACGTGGAGACAATTGAAAGGCTGTTGTGTTTGACAAGGAGCGTGGCAGTGAAACTTAACTGAGCATACAGAGACCGAACTATATTGAGTGAGAGATATATATATATATATATATATATATATAACTTGATTTTTTTTATTTTTTTCGTTTTCTCGGAACAGTATTCATATTTTCTGTCTAGTTTGATAGCATAATTCATACGTCTCTTCAAACTTCAAACGTCAATTGTAACTAAAAAACCCTGCTAGAGTTTTTTTCTACACGTCAGCTTTTCAGTACACAACCCACACAAGCTTCTCTGATTACCATTTTCTGTAAACTTAGCCATAGAATCATTTACATATCTTACGTCACACCCTCCTATTCCAAACACAATATTACATGGAAATTGAGTATAGGAATTTTGTCTCGGAGTAAAATTGAACTTAACTATTTTTTAACTAATATTTCAGTACACGGTATTCATATATCAATGTTGTATAAAAAAGCTTAAGAATGTCCGAGAACATTTTCTTGACATGCATATTACATACTTCACTCACCCATCTTGCGACATAAGAATGGAAACACCTCAGAGAATTCATGACTTTTTCTTTCATTAGAATTATTAGAACTCAAAAGATTCATTTACATTTCTCACTGGTACCCGAAAATAAGAAATATCCTCATCATCGTAATATATGCTCCTGGATGAATATATTGTAAATCACTTTTACATCATAGGAGTGAAATTTACATCGAGGTATTTGAATGTAAAATGGAGCAGTCCTACTCTTAATTCCTCCTCCACTTGACGTCTCTCAATGCTGGAACTAAGACCCAGCAATCAGTGAGGACGAGGGGGAGGGGGGAGATGCCTGGGGAAAGAGGAAGAGGAGGAGGGCGTGGAGCAATGGGGCCCTGATGCATATTTATCTGGCTGTTAATCAGATCTCGTTTACAAGCTGCACTTAGCACGACTTCGGTCTCGCCCTGTTAATTGCTTTTCTCACTGCCTTTGAATCCTTGCAGACAATTACCACCACGATTAACCAAGCCGCTTTGGTCTTCCTCCCCTCCTCCTTCCCTCCTTTATCCTCCCCCACCACGGCCCACTGCCCCCAGCCCCCTGCCCCCCTCCCAGACGTGACAGACTTTGGCTCACCGGCTACTGCGCATTCTCGTCCTTTCTTTCTTCATTTCTCCATTCTCTTCTATCGTCCTTGTCCTCTTAAATAACTCTTTAAGTTATTATTCTCGTGTATTAAAGCAACTTCTTCTTTTATTTAATTATTTACTTCAGTTTCTTCGTGGTAGTTTAAATTCACTTTTGTCCAACTTCCTCGCTTCCGGTATCCACTTTGAACTATCTTTCAAAATTTATCGTCGTCATTACATCTTTCTTTGCTTTTCTTTGTTTCTAGGATCTCGCGATGCCTTACTTCATCGTTGTCCTTTATTTGTTTATTTTTTCTCGTTAGAGCAAGTCTTAACTATCTTGTCTTCTACTCCTTCCTTCGTCTCTGTTATCTAGTTGTTTAAGTCCGAATTATATATATCTACCCTCCTCCTCCTCCTCCTCCTCCTTCCTTTCCTCCCCCCTCTCCTCTTCCTTCATAAGAACACAAGAACATAAGAAAATAAGGCGTCTGCAATAGGCCGGTTGGCCTGTGCATGGCAGCTCCTGTCGAGAGTTACTACCACTCTCTATCATCCATGAATCTATCTAGCCTCCTTTTGAAACTTTCCAGAGTTCCCGCACTTACTACAAAGTTGCTAAACTTGTTCCACTCGTCCACCACCCTATTTGTGAACCAGTTTCTTCCTATCTCCCTCCTAAACCTAAACTTATCCAACTTGAATCCGTTGCTCCGAGTCCTATCCTGCTCGGATATTATAAGAACTATATCTATAGCCCCTTTATTGATTCCTTTCACCCACTTAAATACTTCTATCATATCTCCCCGCACTCTTCGTCCTTCTAGGGAATGCAAGTTAAGTTTCTTTAGCCTATCCTGATATGGAAGGTTTCTAAGTCCCGGAATCATTTTTGTCTTTCTTCGCTGCACCGACTCTAGTGAATTTATATCCATTCTATAATAGGAGCACCAGAACCGAACCGCATAATCGAGGTGTGGCCTGACTAGCGCAAGATATAGTTGCAATAAGACCTCTGCACTCTTGTTACTTACACTTCTAGATATAAAATCCAATACTCTGTTTGCCTTATTTCGAACATTAACGCACTGTTTTCTAGGCCGTAGGTCCGGGCTTACAAGTACCCCTAGGTCTCTTTCACAAGTCGACTTCTCTAGGTTGATGTTGTTAAGGCTGTATACATTATAATTATTTGTTCTTCCAATATTAAGTACGCTGCACTTGCTGGTGTTGAATTTCATTTGCCATTTTTCAGACCACCCCTGCAGTTTATTTAGATCCTCCTGTAATGCATTTGCATCCCGCCCTGAATTAATTTGCCGCCCTATTTTGGTGTCATCCGCAAACTTGCTTATGTCACTGCTGATCCCAGTATCTAGATCGTTTATGTAGATTATGAACAAGAGTGGGCCTAGTACTGACCCCTGGGGAACCCCACTGGTAACACGGCCCCACTCAGATTTAACACCATCTACGCTGACCCTCTGCGTTCTATCGGTGAGCCATGATTTTATCCAATTTAAAACTTCCCCTCGATACCATGAGCCTCAATTTTTCTCAGAAGTCTCTGATGCGGTACTCCTCATCCTGCGTTTAGTTATCGCTTACTCAATGTCTTACTTTGTTTTATCAGTTTTACTCTATTCCTTTGGTTGTTTTTAGTTCCATTCGCTATTCTTCAATTTCATTAATACTTATCTTTCACCCTCTATGGATGACGCTCCCAAACATGCTCTGGTCATTTATGTTTTGCTTAAACAGCCACTGTCATTATGTGTTTAATGATTCGAGATACAAGTCCAAGTATAAAAGAAAGAGCACAAATATGGGATAAAAACATTTAAATTCTCTTTTCAAAAGCATTTCAAAATTATTCTAAAAACTTCGAATCAAAAACAGTTTAAATCTATTCTCAAAAACATTTCATTTTTATTCTCAAAAACTCTCATTGCTCATAATCCCTCTTTCTCTCCTGCAGTGATTCTTGTCTCCCTCTATGACCTATTTATCCTTCCTGCCCTTCTCCCCTCGGTCTGTTAATAATCCTAATCCCCTTTAATAATAATCCTTCTTAGTGAGACCTTCCCCCAGGAGACGGACAAAATAGACGATTCGGGGATAAGAGAGAAAGAGAGAGATAAAAAAAAGAGGAGAATGAGGAGGAGGAAGGAGAGAACGAGGATATGGAAGAAGACGAAGGACAGGAAAAGGAGTGGTAGAGGGGATTTCGAAGAAAGGGAATGGAAGGATTATAAGAGAAAGAACACTGCAAATCTTTTTCTTAGAACAATGGTTCTTAATGACACCCAGCACATGAAAGAGATGGAAGAAAAGGCGATTAGAAAAGGGGAATGAGGAGGAGGAGGAAAAGAAGAGGAGGAGGAGGTGGAGGAAAAGGAGAAATAGGCGTGCGCGGCTGGCATGGTGGAGGTGCGGGCGCTGAGGGAGGCGGTGGAGGGAGCAGTTACCCGTGCGCCCTGGTGAGTGTTGCGACCACACGCTCTATCTCGCTTCGTCCCGCGTGCGGCCACGAACATCTCTACTCCTGCATACCGCCGCACCCCACGTTAGCCGCAGGGGAAAGGGTAACAACACCTGTCGAGAGAAACTAGCCGGCGTGTTTTGGTCAAGTAGCAATAAGAACATTAATTGAAAGTCTAGCAAAATACGGAATCCATTTTAAGGAGTTTATGAAATGAGTGTGAATGGTACTGTAAAGTTACCTGAAGTGAAATAAGGTAAAGTAGTAAATCATATCAGACATGTAGATGGTAAATATACATATGTATATACCCAAAGAGGGATTAAGGTTATGAAAATAATTTAATCCCACAGCGTTAGAAAAAAAAATCTGTTTACCATCACACATGACCTTTATTTTATTATATATTTTTTTCCGAAACATACAAAAACGAGACTGTGTTGAAACAAATTTTGAAAAACATCGTCGGAGACTCGCCAGGTTTTCACAAGTTCCGTCTCGCGAGAACCTAAAGTAGGAAAGAATAATTATGAATGTAACTCTCCTTAAGTAGTTCTCGATAACGTGTACCTTTCAGAATAAAAAAAACGGTCCCTTGGAAGAAATATCCAAATGAAAAAATAATTATTGATTTATAGGTCAGGAAATGATAAATTCTCCAGAATTTTCGTCTTGTGAACATCGAGGGCAGGACCTAAAACAAAATATATATATATATATATATATATATATATATATATATATATATATATATATATATATATATATATATATATATATATATGTGTGTGTGTGTGTGAAGGTTGCTATTCTGAGTGGCTATCGATATGATTAGTGTGAGTGACTCTTGGAGGATGGCCATGGGTACGGGAGAGAGCCCTCACCCACCAGTAATATGTCCACTTTTTCCCCATAAACTTTACTGAAGGAAGATATCGCCTTTTTTATCACTATCACTTCACTATATGCATACATAGATGTTTTATTATATTATTATTTGATATTAGCTACCGGGCTATATATACTAATAGTGTATTTTCATATATAGTTGGGTAAGATTTATTTCTGGAATATTCTAAATAAGGGGTTTATTTATTGAAAGAATTTTGTGCTTAGTTCTTTTTTTTCTCATTTTTTTGCTGCCTATTCGTTCAAAAAGTGTTGGGCCAACAATAACCTTGCTCAGTTTTGTTTTTATTTGTTAACGTTATTACAATCAGTTTCTCATAAGTGTAACTCAACATAAAAACCGAAAACGCTATAGTTAAAACTTTGGACAATCAAGTGTGCAATATTCTTAGTGCAATGGTTATATAAAAAGACTGAAAGTTATCGATATGCAGAGAATATTATGCATGTGACCTTGAAAATTATTTAGCCTTAACCAACAAAGTTCATAAGTTTGTGACAATCAACATATTGTAAGACCTCGACAAAATAATCGTCACAAAAAATGATTCCACATGAAAACACGGACCTCTAAAATCTGGATCCATACAGTACCCAGATAGCTACACCAAGTTTACATATATCATGAAGAGGGAGAAACCAAAAATGTCAGCAGTGCACACGTCTGGGCTGGGCGTCCTCATACGTACACTGATGTTGGTGCTCACAGCTGCTAGTTCGGCTCAGGGGGAAGGTAAGAAATTCAGGTGTGGTTTTGAACAGGTGGAGAATTCTTCAGCAAATATTCCTTTGCACTTTCGGGTGTGGAGACGTTGGTTTATACACTGTTGGAAGATTCAGCAATTTGTACTTCAGGTCTTGTATGAGAATTTCTAACGAATTAAATGGAAAAATATAAGTTTTTACTATTTGGAAGTATTTTAATAACATCTTAAGTATAATTTTAGCGACATTAACTCTTAACGTTATGGATACAATCTTGGTTGAAACATAATGAAGAATTCTCCTCCCCAAAATGTTCCATTAGAGTATTTAAGACTTAATTATGTGGAAATTCGTCTGTAGCTGAAATGTTCGGGGCAGACTGTACATGTGACTACCAGTCAAGTCCCGCAGAGAATAAGGCATCAGATCTGTACTTAGACATGTAGAAACACTCCTGCTTATTGTTGACTGGGAGACGCTAGTCCTCTTCAAGAAACACTCGTATTCGTCTCAATAAGTTTCCTGTCTGAGTCGTGTATTGACTGTTCTGTTTATGATTTATGAAAGTCTTGGCATGTTTCTCTGAATTAATGTTATTATCGTTATCTCTCTAATATTAGTACTTCGTGTGTGCGTCGTACGGGAGGTCTTCACACTCGTAACTTAAGTAAGCTATTTTATTATTACTAAGTGTAAAGATAGAAATATAACCTAAGTATATCTTGATTATCATAAAATCAATAATAAATCTAATCCATACTAATTAATAACATTACTATTGGTATAATAATAATAATAATAATAATAATAATAATAATAATATAAAATATCCAGCTGTTTTTACATGTACACGTACATTATTACTCGCGCAGAAATATTATCATATTTTGTTATATTTCCTTATTTCCTTCTTTTATCAGCATTACCCATGTTATTTATATCGTTGTCACTATTATTATCATCTTTTATTACGACCACGACTAAAACATATGACATCAATATTTGTTGGTGTAATGATCTGTTACTAAAGCCATAATTTTCTTACAGCTGACATCTGTATACGATTCTTCACGCTCTTTTTACTGTGTTTTATATTAATTATTATAACCAGTATGCTGGATGATGATTTGACCAATTTTGTTATCGCAATATATATATATATATATATATATATATATATATATATATATACATCTTGATAAAATCACACGGGGAAAAGGGAAACAACGGAGCACCTTAGCTTTCGTCTTTTTTATCAGTGGCCCAAGGTTAAAAACACTTTGAAAACCTTGGATCTAGATGTAGGATAGTTATTTAGTGGGTCCCTTATTTTTGACCTGACCTGAGTAGTCACGTCGCCTCCCTTCTCTTAAGCTCCTCTACGTGTGTGTTGGTGTTGGTGTGTGGGTTAGTGAATGACATCATTATGACCTAACCTCATGTTTAATAAGGTCACCCTGTATATTTAAGCCTCTCTCTGTCCATGTAATCCAGTTGCCACTGAAGATGTCTTGAATAAAGACGAAAGCTAAGGTGCTCCGTTGCTTCTCTTTTCCCCGTGTGATTTTATCAAGATTTATCTTATCCACGTTTTCATTGTGGATCTACATGAAATATATATATATATATATATATATATATATATATATATATATATATATATATATATATATATATATATATATATATATAATGTTACCTACCATAATAAATTTATCATTGCATACCTTTTTCCTGTTTACTCTAAATACATATTTCAAAGGAATTTTACTGTTCCCTTGATTATCTTCCCCTCGACATTTGTCTCACATTTTTAGCCTCTTTAGTGCACACTATCTTGCCTTCTGCCAGGGGCCGCCAATTCTCCGCATTGTGTGCTTGTCGTCTTCTTGATCTATTTGCATCGTTTGATTCATAATTCAACGCCACACTTTTCCATAAAATTTTCTCCAGTCTTCATTATGGTGATTTTTCTTTCAGTTTTTGTTTATGTGAGACTGCCAGGTGGGATGATTCTTCGTGTATGTTGTGTTATACAGGGCAATCAGATTCATGGGTCAAGGTTGAATTAAATATGAGATAATTTAGAGAAAAGAGTTAAAACATTAATTGATAAGGGAAAGAATCTAAGTTAGTATAGAGACAGGCGAAAGAAAAACCTATAAATAATAAAGAAAGAAGGGAATAGACGAGGCAATGCCATGGTAATGACCTTAATAAAACGACACAAAGAGGTCAAAATGAAGCTCAAATTCTTCATGACACCAACAGCCGTCACCCCCAAACAGTGTCGACCACACCGCGTAGCTGAAGTAAATTCTGACCTCCGCCACACAAGGTAATATTTTTATTGACTCGAGACATCCAGCGATAAGTTATGACGGCTATAAACTCCAAAAATAACTCCCCCCCCCCAAAAAAAAAAGCTCTGAGGAAGTGGATTAAAAGCCAAGGAAGGGTTGATCTTGAGGGATGACATATCAGTTATCAAATGACTCAAGAGAGCATGAAGGGAATGACGGATCAAAAGAAAGTGAGAGAGAGAGAGTTCAGGATTTAGACGGAAAAGGCAGAGGCTGAAAAAAAAATAGAAGTTTCGTGGCACATTTTCTGGGATGGGAATAAAGTTTGAGTCTTGAAGAACCCCGCGACGCTTGGGAATGCAAAGTGTATAAAGGATGGTTAGATGGGAATCAGGGGACGGTCTGGTGGGATAGATGGAGGGAATAAGGGAGGAAGGAGAGGGAAGGAGGGTAGGAGTGTGGAAAGGAGATAGGGATGGAAGGAGGAGGGAATGGATTGATAGAGGGACGGAGGGAGGGAGATATGAGTATGGAAGGGGACGAGGAAGGTAGATGTATGAGGGAAGGAGAGAGAGGAAGCTATATATAGGTGAAGGAAATAGAGAGAGGAAGATGACTGACAAAAGAGTAGGTTGTCTTGAATGAAGGAAGAAGCTGAGGAGAGAAAAGGGAGAGAGAGTTTTAGGAGGAAAGAAAAATACTCGACAAAGATAAGGGACGAATTTGATGAAGGTGAGGAAGAAGTTAATGAGGTGGAGGAAGAATGATGCGGAGTGAAGAAGGATGGATTTTTAAGAATGACTAAAGGAGAAGAAGAAATAGTCACGTGGAGACGGGAGTTGACAGAGGAGGAAGAAGAGAACTGGCGTGAGGAAAAAAAAAGTAAAGAGAGGTTGTAATGTGAGAGAAATGGCTGAGAAGTGTCAGAAAGAAGTCAAAGTGAGAGACGGAGAAAAATAAAGGGGGAGAGGAGGGGAGGTGAAATAAGAGAGCAAAGGAGTAGAGGGGAGTAAGGGACGGAGTAGAGGGGAGTAAGGGACGGAGTAGAGGGGAGAAATAAGAGGAAAGGGAGAGGGGAGAAAAGTGGACAAATATTTTTTTTTTACGCGAGCTGGTAAACACTGGTTCTGTAGGACAGCTGAAGAACTACCTGGGGAAACAAAGATTATTATTATTATTATTATTATTATTATTATTATTATTATTATTATTATTATTATTATTGGGTATCAATGTTACTATTAGTATTTAATAATATTAACAAAATATTCTCATAATCATCACTACTATCATCATTACCATGCCAGCCACAGAAGGAGAGAGTATTGTTTCCGACCTTTCTCTGTCTGTCTATCTATCCCTAAATTACCTCGACAACGGGTCTGCCAATTCGCATCAAACGTGTTGGGATTGATTAACGTGTGACAATGCGCACATGATAAACTTCAGGTACAAATGGGTTATTTCGGTGGTTATAGAAAACAATGACTGAGACAATCCCCAGCTGTGCTTACAGTACAGTACAGTACACTACGATGGTATTTCCGTGCTAAGCTGGCCTGTAAGCCACGCCCCTCGTCTATACCTACAAATAGTTGATTGGTTCCCTTAAGCGTTTTACCTCCCCCGAACTGCGCTTACACAGTATAAGCGCATACTTATATTGACCTTTTATAATACATTTTAAAATTTTCTGACATCCCTTCTAAAGATGATAATGCCTTGAAATGATTTGCATTTTGATAATCGATTTATTTAACATTATTTTAGATAATAACACGTCTGCTTACCAATTGTGAACACATTTAGTTTGAATTTTCTATGAACCAATCAGCTATTAGTATAGAAGAGGGGCGGGGTCTACCGGCCAAGTTAGTGTGGAAAGGGTATTTTCACTAACTCCTTATTTATCCTGCCTAGGGAACGGTTCATGGGCAGTGTTTGTATCTACATGGGTGATATATGATCAATGTTATCTAAAATTCATATAGAGATATTTGAGACTCTCTCTCTCTCTCTCTCTCTCTCTCTCTCTCTCTCTCTCTCTCTCTCTCTCTCTCTCTCTCTATATATATATATATATATATATATATATATATATATATATATATATATATATATATATATTACGTACAGTATCATACACATTCTTATGGTACACTGTCACCTCTTGGCTGGCACACTTTTGATATACTGTCATATTTTCACAACATATATTCTTCCACACCCAAACATGACGGTTATTTCTTTTAATTTTTAATGGATTGTTTATTTTTCCTTGCACGAATATTCTGACAATGAATTTGGATGACAATTAATGTTTATGTGAATTATTTATCAATGTGAACCAAACTGATGAATGAAAACACACGTGTTATCAAGTTATATAACTGAGGCAATGAAATGTTTATATAAATATTAGTTGTAATAATAACAGCGTTACTCATATAGATAAATGATTATGATGGTAATGTAAATAGTTATGTAATACTGAAAAGGGAACGGCTGTTTAGTGGATACAGTGCTCGTCTCATTTTATGGGGGTTGGTAGTTCGATTCCCGGGCGATCCCAGTTCACCCAGCTGTATACACACTGCCCATAACGGGCAGCCAAGCCTATGGGACCCACTTTCACTGTATTTAAAATAATAATAGCAATGTGAATAAATACGTAGATAACTACTGATAATGATAGAAATAGAATTAGATAACCAACAATAAATAT